CTGGTGAGGCCACCAGGCACCTGCCCCACACCAGGGGGATCCCTGCTCCCTCTGCCCCCCCGAGCATGGCCTCTGCCACTCTGGCCGCTCCCCACCTCCCAGAGCCCTAAAGGGGCATCCCACTCCAGATGGGGGTACATGCCCCTACCCCACAGCCTGCCCCTGCCACAGCCTCACACTGGGGGCAAGTGGTTACTGCCCCCACCCTCCACCCGCCACCCTGGCCAATATGGAAATAAACTGGGGGAAAAAAAAAATCAAATATTGTTAGAAGGTATGTTCAGAGCAAGGTTGCTGAGCACGCTGCCATAGGAATAAACATCGTGAATTATGTCATTTCACTGCAAAACTTAAACTGCGCAAATAAAACCCCATCTCCCACAGCCCAAGTTTATCTGTAGCCCTCTGTATTTTGCGTCATTAGCATCTTTCCAGGGAGGGTTTAGACATACATGGCCATTGCACGCATTTCTCCAAGTGTTTTCTCTAGAAAGAAAAGCAACTTCTCCCTGCCTCCCACCGTCAACCGTCTGAGCTCTACAGCTCAGTCCCCCCAGCCCCTCACAGACCAGTGCTCATCTCTAGAGGTACACCCTCACCCACAAACACGACCCCACAGCTCTTGGGATGCTACACAGCCCCCTCCCCAATGTTACAGCCACTCCACTGCCCCCAGTAACAGCTGAGCCCGCTGCATGCCAGCACCCCTGGCCTTGGAGCACACCCAGCACAACTCAGACACCCTCACCACCACTGCCAAGTCCAGCTTTTCCCTGAATTTCCATAGGGCACAGCTTGAGGAGGGAGTTTATGAGCCCACAGCTGAGAGAAGGGCTCAGGCTGCCCCCAGGGCTTCCCCGTGCAAGCTCCCACACTTGTGGGGTGTACAGTTAGCAGCGAGATCTGGGCCCCCAGTGCCTTCCCGGGCTGGTGGCTGCCGGGGGGACCTGCAGCTGGCTGGCCGGGACCCCGTCCCAGCTGCACAGGGGCCAGGGTCACATTCCTGGGATAGCTGGGAGCTTTGCTGTTCATGCAGGAAAAAGGTCACCGTTGTCCACACAGGCAGCTGCCGGGACCACCGCCTGGACAGGGCAGGGGCAGGAGCAGTCCTGGAAGCAGAGAGGACGCCCAGCAGCTCTTCCCAGAGCTGAGCGTCTCCCCGGCTCCAGCCTGGCATAATCCAGCCCCGACACAGCCAAGAGGGGCAGCCACACACAGCCCTGAGTAGGGGGCAAACAAGGCCACAGCATGCCAGAAGATGGAAACCTCGGTAAGCAAGGGGAAGCGGTGGCAGAGACACACCATTTCTCCATGACAAGCTGTAGGATGGTGGGGCCAAGGCCACAGAGGTGCCAGGGTGACCTGGGACCGGGACAGTTCTCACTGGGGCAAGACACAAGATAGCTGAGGGCAAGAGATTTATTGGTCATTCTCTATATACACATATATATTAATCTGTCTAAGAAAGTAGCAGTCACTAAGTACACAGAGCAGTACCAACTCCTGCCTCTTCTCACGCTGCAGCTGGAGACCCAGGCACACAGCCCAGCCCAAATTTACCCTCTTGCCTCCTCCACATTATGGCCAAATATGGGGGGGGCAGGAAAGACTAAACCTGCAGGCAGGGAGGCAGAGGAGCACAAGAGTGACTAGCAAGGTCTCAGCTGATCCAGGACCAAAGACCACAGCTCCTGGGGAAGCAGGTAGAGCTCCGACTTCTTGATCCCAAAAATACAGTCACCTAGCATAGTGCCAGGAAAGGTAAGAACAGAACCCCAAGGTTGTTGCACCCCCACCCAGGAGGTGAAGTAGGACCACAAGTGGGAAGGATGGCTCTTCCATCACCAAGCCAGGCCACAGGACCTGGGCAAGTACGTGGCAGGGCACAGCAAGTGTCAGGGAGCACCCAGGGCTTGGAGCAGGTGCCAGGGAGCAGCTGCAGAGAGGGGGGCACAGCTGTGGGCACTGCTCCACCGCAGGGACACTGGTGTGGCAGATGCTGCAGGGTGACGAGGGCTGGTCTGCCCCAGCCTGGCGCTGGCAGGAGGAGCAGTGAGCACAAGTGCCCTCTGGCAGGGTGATGCCATGTTGGGAACCAAGCAGCCTAGGCTCCTGGCAAGCAAGGACAGGGCTCCCGCTGTCCCAGGCATCAGGCAGTGCAGGACCCAGGAGCTGGCTGGGCCTGTTTCAGTCACTTGATGAGCACCTGGTTGCACAGGGCACACACAAACACCGTTTCCCTCTGAGCCTCCGGGGCTAGAAAGGAAAACAGGCGTCAGAGATACTCCCCTGCCCCTCACATCACCCACCACGGGCTAGGGACCCCAACCACATTGCTGCTCTGAGAGCTGCAAACCCATCACCGCTCTGTCCCAGGCCAGGCTGTGCTGGGCAGGTCCTGCCAACCCTCCCCAACACGGCTGGGGCACATTCCCGCAGCAGGCAGCACAGGTGGGAGCAGGAGCTCTGCCCTCCTCCACCTTCCACTCACCCGTGGCTCCCATCACAGCCTTAGGGACTTTGAAGGAGCAACACCTGGAGCAGAAGCTGTTCCCACAGTTACTGCAGCTCCGCTGTGAAAAGAGACAGAGGTGAGACACTACTCTGGGCCCACGCCCAGCGCCCTCCCAGCAAACTCCAGTGACAAAGCACTGCTAACAGCATTCCTTGCTGAAGAGGAGTGGGTGCAAGCCCTGAGTCCCCAAAGCAGCAGCAGATGGGCCATCTGCCAGCAACACCTAGACAAATTGCCCAGGCCTTTTGCTGGATCTGCACGCAAATATGCTCTAACATCACAGGCAGCCTGTGCCCAGCTGTAAGAAAGCACTGTGAGCACAGGCTCCAGGACATTAAAGGACACTGTATCACTTCCTATGCTGTAACTCTGCAGGGAAGTAAGCTCCAGAGAGTCCTAGACAGGCTAACCCAGGAGGAAGCGGAGGAGGCCACCAGTCTGGAGAATGGAAGGCAACAGGAAGACAGCAATGCGAGTCTGAAGGGGACAAGAGATACATCCTTCCCAGAACTGCCCAGGGGACTGCATGCCAAGCATCACACACAGGGGCTCAGACAAGACAACAGGGTGGCCTTTGCTTCTCTAGCTCCCACAAGCAGACCCGTACTCTTCTTCATGGGAAAGCGCTCAGGTCACAAGAAAAGGGCTAAACCAGGGCACAGAGCAGATGCCTTGTACACGAGCACATGTGGGTTTGGCCCGAGGCAGCTTCCGAAGGAGGAAATGCACAAAGGCTCCACAGCACAAGGGATCCCTGGCACCATCAGGCACGCGACAACACCCAGCACTTAGCTGAGGTCATCCACTGACACGCTGACTGAGGACAGCCAGAGCTGCCAGAGCTCAACGCACAACACCTCTCTCCTCAGTACAGGCAGCACACTGGTGCAGAAGACAAAGACTCACCCTCTTCTTGAGCACAGAGAAAGTGGCTGCGCAGCCCGTGCAGCTCCCTGGAAGAAAGAGAGCAGAGGTCAGGCTGGGCTCTGCCGCCTGGGACTGCGAGAGGCACAGGAGCACCCACGCCTGTTGCAAAGGCTCAGCTCAGAGGCCACACTGCTAGGCCACACTCCTGAACCCTCTCATCCCAGCCCTTCCCAAGACAGCTGGGAACATCCTCTCCTTAGAGGAGAGAGGTCACTGGAGGTGTCAGCACAGCCCCAGCAGGAACCACACCACTCTGTCCACTCCCAGTTCAGTGGCCACCACTGAGAGCAGCACAGACCCTGCTTTGCTGAGCTCCCCCAAGCAGCACCCGCTCCCAGCCTTACCAAAGTTGTTGCTGGGGTAGCGCTTGCGCAGGCGCTCCGTCAGGCGTGACACCTTGCTGCGGATCACCTCATTTTTGCTCATAAAACCATTGTCTGGGAGGCTGAGGTCAAAATCCGCTGAGCACTGAGAGCTCTCATCATCTTCCTGCAGAGAGCAGAGCCAGCTGAGCACAGAGGGGTGGCTGGGGACATGCCTGGGGACTGCAGGGCAGCCTACCCCAGAGATGGGCATCCAATGAGCAGGATGCTCCACCTGGCAGTGCCACAAACCACCAGCAAACCTGGCAAAGACTGCCAGCTCTAGCTGAGAGGAGATGCTCTTCTTGTACACCTTGGCATGGCAGTACTCACCATGACCAGCAGCTGGTTCTCCTTCTCCGGCAGCATGAGACAGAGAGAAGAGGCAGTACAGATGGAGTCGGAGACACCCAGCCCCACAGCCATCCTCCCTGAGAGCCCAGCTTGCCCACCAAGGCCCACACCCCTTCCCATCTCAGCTGCCCTGCAGACACAGCCTGCCCCCCACCAGCCTCAAACCTCGATAGCATCTTTGAATTCTTCATCAGGCTCTGCCTCCTCTGCCTCCTCCACGCTGCCAGGGGTAAGGTCCTGCAAGAGATTCCCAGAACTAGTCCTGCTGTACCCCCCACCTCTGTCCAAAGCGGGGCCCACACTTCTGTGGCAGGTTCCAGGATAAAGGACCGGCCCTCTGTCAGCCCCATGAGAAGTTGTGAGTCCAGAAGGCGGGGCAAGACCCTGCCTCTTCAGGTCGTGTCCTTACACATAGCAGAAGGACTGAGCCAAGCCCCCAGCTCAGCAGGGCAACCGCCCAGTAACTCAGGAGGGGCTCCCGGGCAGGACACACATGGTTCCAGCAAAGCTGGCAGCTGGGAGGAGCTTGTGGGTAGAGGGGCATGGCACAGTCAGACCAAAGGTCTGACCCTGCAGCTCCCACCCACAACTGCTAGCTCTGCCTGTCTCACCTCTGTGCTGGTGGGTGTGGGGGTCCGATCCAGGGGGGCAGCAGCTGGGAGGGGCTCAGCAGGCTCTGGAGTGCTCTCAATGGGTTTGGTGCCCAGACGCTGCTCGATTGAGGCCTTGAGCTCCATTATCACTGGTAAGGGGGGAACATGGCTGGAGCAGGGTGACACTTCCCTTCCCCCAGCCCTGCCACAGGAAAGCCAGCTGCAAGAGCTGATCTCCGGGCTCAGGGTGTGACACTGGCATGTGCAGTGTTCACCCATCAGGTACCCTGAGCCCTCCTCTGTTCACATACCAATGTTTAGACAGCAAGGAACCCCCCACCACCTGCCCCAGCTCAGGTTAAGGAACAGCAGAGGCCTTAGTCACAGCTCAGTAACACAGATCTCCTCCAGCTCTCCTCCAGCACATGCCACAGAACAGAGAGTGCCTCCAGCTCTTCTCCTCCCCTCTGACAGCACGTTCTCAAGCCTGTGTCATACATTGCCATGGGCACCAAGAGTATTTCAAGTCCTGCAGAGCAGGGTCATGAACTGAGAGGGGTGGCAATGCTCACGCACAGGCTGCATTGCCAGGCCTGTTTCCCATAGCGTGGAGGAGGGCAGGAAACACCAGTGAGGCCAGGACACACATCAGGAGAGACTCTCACCTCTTACAGCTAAGCCCCAGGACCCCATCACCCAATCCAGGCTGCTGAACACTGGCTCTAGAATGTTGTTGCCCTTGGGGGGGTGAGGGGCAGGTCAGGTCCCATGGCAGAGCCCAACACAGGACACTGAGCTCACATGAGGGTGCTGGGAGACATCCAGAGCAGGATCCCTGGCTTCAGAGGGCCCTTCCCCATCCCATCCCACACAGGCCACTTCCAGGGAGGTCTCTTACCTTGGTAGAACTGGGTGTTGCCCAGGAAGAGGGTGCTGTTGAGGATGGCCAGGACCCAGCAGAGGGGCAGCAGGTAAAGGATGCAGACAGAACCCAGCAGTGCCCCATAAAACCTGGGAAGGAGCAGCAGGACACTGCAGTCAAGACAGAGCAACTCATGCCACAAGCACAAGCCTGGCTCCTTCGCTTGGTCCTCCTCCTCCTTTCTCCAGGTACAAAACACATCAAACACAACTCCACAAGCCAGACTCCTCGCTGAGCCCACTGCAGGATGCCTGACCCGGTACTACTCACTGCGAAGAGACAGTGGGGTTCTCCCAGTACAGTACACGGTACACTGCCTCGCATCTGCAGCATATCCCGCTCAGGAACCCCTCCAGCTGGATCAGGCTGCGAACAAGACCTCACAGTCAAGAAAATGCCCCGCAAACACACACCCTGGCTCCTCCATGCTCACGTGCTTTACAATGGCCAGGCTGGCGTGAACCCAGGCCCTCTGCAGACACAGAGAAGCCTTCCCAGCTGCAGAGGTCCCCAAAGCCCCACAGCCAGGAGGGCTCCAGAGACTCACAAGCTCT